GGTGTAAGATAAGATTGGTTGATGACTGCTTGATGAGATTGAGAAGTTGTGATGATGGTCATTGATTATATGTTTTGATGAAATGCTTGGTTGATGTGTTTGACGACAGTGCACCAAGTAATGTTTTGAGCCTTTTTCTTATTCTCGAGAGTTGGTCGAATTCTTGTATAACTGAAACTTTCCTTGAGTCTATTTTGAAATAAATTGATCAGAGTCTTGAGCTGTAGAAATGATTGAGGCATCTTTTTGTTTAACTCGTTTTACCTTGTTTTTGTCCTTGATATATATATCTCCGCTAGTAGCCGTTTGAGCCTTGGTCTATTTTTCTTGTTTATCCTATTGATTTGTTGTCGATGGCCTGTTATGCGATTCATAAGTATGACAGAGTTATTTATTTTATGATTGAATGGAGATTGTAGCATACTACTTAATCGAAAAAATAAATAAATAAATAAATAAATAAATAAAAAATGGAGCTCGCAAGACGAACTAAGAGGATTCTACTCCTCTTACTTGTTCATGCGAATGGACGAGTAATGAGTAATGGAAACTACTCTTGGATCCTTGGATAACCTCCAAAGTCTAAACCAAGAGAACGTTGTCCTTAAAGTTCGACCTTGTCTGGAAAAACAAACTCCGAATAAAAAAAAAGAGAAGAAAAATAAATAAAACGATCAAGTGTGTGTAGTGCACTATGATTTGAGCTTGTGCGTGTGGTGTATGGAGACTTTTGGTGAAGGAAGTAGTTATATGTTGATTATGTTGAGTGGCATGACTCTTTCAGATTATTTATTGTAGCCGTTTGACAATTTTAGATTCTTCCTGTTACCTTGAGCTTACACTACAACCCGTCAAGTCCTTTTGATCTGCTAGTTCATGATTTTGATCATTTTATAGTAGGAATTAAACAATAGGCAAGGCTTAGTGAAACTTGAATTTCAGCCAAGTGGAGCGTACTTCGTTATATTCATGTAAGAAATTTAGTGAGGCTCATCCCTATATTCGATTGTCGAGAGATTTGTCGTTTAAATTGCTTTAACTGAGTATGTAGTTGAAGCATGTGGTTTGTGGCCGTTTGAATGCTTTTCGATTTAATTGAGTAGTTTGAGACCTTTCTTGTTTGTCATCGCTATCCATGCTTGATCTTTGCGTCTTTTATTTTCTCTTTGTTCGGGACGAACGAAGGTTTAAGTGTGGGGGAGTTGTTTGTCCTATTTTTGTTGCATTTTTTTTGCTATTTTTTTTCTATTCTTTTTCCCCCATTTAGGTCGTTTAGTCGAGTTTTAGTTTATTTTATAGATTATTTAGTGTTTTGCTTTATTTGGGTATTTTTGTGTTTTTCGGTATTT